CACACACACACACACACACACACACACACACACACACACAGGCTTGCAGACCTGTGCAGTGGCCATTTATCCAGATGGCAGACATTTCCTTTTCAATACAGCTGTCTGTCTGCTGTGAGTAAAGTCTGGGCTTGTTCATGCGGAATGCTGACTGCAGGTTTTGTTCTCCTCTTTAACAACGTTGGACGTCGTCTTACAGAGGTTCTCAGCTGGGTCACGCAGTGCCCCCTTTACAGGAACGGCTGTTCCAGCAACAGGCTTTTTAAGTTTTTTAACCTACTGCATGCAGATGGACCCTACTGTACTTTTTGTTTATAATATGATCGAATCTCCAATGTGCCTAAACCAAATCTGCATTTTAATGAGATTTACTGAGATAGAATCTTTCCTATATTATATGTATGGATGAATGTGCACAACGTTATTGAGCTTTACGTATATAATATACTGTATACATAACATCACATCCTTATCAGCCTTTTCTGATCCACCCCTGGATCAATCCCTTAGCTCCTGGCTATCCATGTCCATCCTGCTCCTCTAACCATCTGGATTTTATCACATCATCTAACAGGGGGTTGGTGTCATCTTTCAGTTGTTTTTTCTTTGCTTGTGGGATTCAGCTTAGTGTTTCCTTGGTACAACATGTGCAACATTATAAAGGAAGACAATGGTTTTTTGTCACAAGCGGTTGGCCGACTGTTCATTCCAAACCCTCATATCTTGGGCAGGGATTTCTGGTACAGATCTCAGGGAAGCAGGGAGAGGTGGGCGTTGCAAATACACAAATCAGAAAGCAGTGTCTGCCTGCATCAGGGGTGTATACCTAAGGCAGATTTTCAGTTTCCTACAGTAGATTTCTGTAGCGTCGCAGTATTTTACTGGCTTCAAGAAGAAAAACACATCCTGCCAGCTCTGCTGTGTTCTAAACCAGTTTAACACCTAGAGTAAATGCTCCCAATGTATTAATATGATGTATTAAAAAGGTGGAAGGGATTTTAATCATAGAGGAGTCGAGACTTTATCTTGTCCTGTTTACTACAAGGAGCTCTGAAGCAATACGAAATGAGAGGGTCAAAATGAAATGCTCAAGCTGCAAGATATGAGATTTCAGGAGAGCTGATCCCTGGCTCCCAGTTAAGGCCAGAGCAGAGTATCTCAGATGGGACAAGCCGGTGGAAGAATCCTGCAGCTGGATTCCGAGATCATGTGGTCAGGGGAAAGGATTACGCGGTAGCCGCCTCTCCCTAGCGAGGGAGCCAGGCCTTCTCCCAATCCAGCTTTCCCATGAAGCGGAGAAGGCTGACACTGCGGGGTCAGCTCTGAGCAATGGCTGTAGCTGTGCTGTTGTGCAGTGATGTATGTTTGCCTTGAGAGTTCTGACCGGGTCCGCCTGGCCACCTGACTGCTCTGTGCTCTGTGTGTATTCAGACATCGACGAGTGCAGCACCATCTCTGGAGTCTGTGGTGGTGGGGAGTGTACCAACACAGCGGGCAGCTACGTCTGTACTTGTCCCCGTGGCTATGTCACCAGCGCAGATGGTTCCAGATGTGTGGGTAAGTGGCTTCCTCTTGCCTTGGCTCTGAGACCTAGGCTTATGGAACATTTCATTTGCATGAAATAATTGCATTTCAGAGGCGATTGTTAAATGCCTCTCTCAGGGGGGACTTGTTGTCAAAGAACAGATAACCAGTCCAGCTTTTGTGAAGAGACTTCTTCAGCGAGCTCGTTTCTTTTTGGAACAAATGGACACTTGTAGCCCATCCTGCAGGAACTCACAAGAATCCATGCCTGTCGGGGTGACGTTATGAACATGTGGATTTGAATTAAAAGACAGGGCGTTTCCCCTGTGTGTGTGACCTTACAAGTCCACATTTAAGCATCCATCTGGACGTCATTCAAGGGGTGCCAAATTTAAGCGGGGCTTACAACAGACTAAATTATCCAATTCCATCCAATGAGAAAATCTGAACACCTTTTTCTTGGCCAGTATAGTCGGGAACTTCAATTGGAAAATCCTTCCATTGAAGAAGTTTGGAAGAGTTTCCCATGTTAACATACAAAGATTTGCTTATTCATTGTCTACACTATGCCATTCTGACACCTGTGTGCCGTTTTTGTTGTTTGTTTATTTTGTGTGAAATGTAAATACCTGTCTTCAAAACATCAAACCGACTTGACGTTGATCTCACTTGGATCTCTTAGGCGTTCACATTGGATCATTTAGTGGTAATGTAAACGCATCTGGGATCACTTATAGGCGGAGGCGAGTGATCGAATTTGACACCAGAATAACAGAATGGGCCAGGGACATCTAGAAAATTGCGGGCTCTGAGTTTCATACAAACTGTGCCAACGATGGAAAATATTACGCTGTGGTTATAAATTTTTGTTAAATACAACAAAGAACCTGCCAGTCAGAAACGTAGGTGTAGACTGAAGGAGAACATGGCTGGAAGAAATGAGCTGTTCGGCACATTCGGGTGAGTGAGGTCTCTCTTTCAGAGCCCGGCTGGACAGCCCTCATGAACATTCACCATGGGCGATCTGCGCTGTGCGTTCACAGACATTGCCTACCTTTTCCCTGCTGTGCTATTTCCGTCCCATCGCACACGATTTTCCGACGTTTGCGTTTCACACCTCCCTGTCCTGAGCCGATGTTGCTACGCTCGAGAGCACTTTCCTCCATTTTTACGGAGGTGGACCACTGTCGCTGCTTAAGATGCATTTTGGTTCTTTTCAATAACACGGCAACAAACAAAGTGGGGGCGGGGCCAGGGGGAGAGAAGGGGGGGGCTCACACACCAAAAACAACAGGGAAAGGTGGCTGGTACATGCAACACCTTATTTAAGATAAAAAAAGGCACCTGACTGCGTGCTTGTGCTGGCAGTGCTTGTGTATCGCAGTGCTTGTGCTGGCAAAAAGCATCCTACCCGTACTTCTTTCTATAAGAACGGTTTCTGCAAAAGAGACTGTCCAAGCACAGTCCAAGGGTACGTCAGTCTCTTGCTAGGGTGGCTGGGGTTTTCAAGAATGGGCTGCCTGCTCTGTGCTGTACCTCCTCAGCATACCCCTCTGTCAGTCCTAAACGCCAAAGTGGACACATCATGCAGAAGCTATTTCCCCCAGCTAACGTTTCAATATTGTTTCTGGCCGAGGGGCCGTTTTTTTTCCCTTACTGCAGGGGTCCCGCCTGCTTTCTCGCATGCCCTCCCTCTCTTTCTCCTGCTCTCTTTCTCGTCTTTCTCCTCTTCCTGGCTTTTCAGACGGCTGGATGGTCATCGGTCCCTTCCCTTGCAAACCGCAGCATCCCAGGGCGCCAATAGAAGAAAAAATAACACCCTAGAGTTAGATTAGGGTTTTTGATAGGTCCCTGTTGTTTCTGTGTCACGGCATGACTGTGCAACATCCCAGATCGCTGGGCGTGTATATGCGTTTTTGTGTTTTCACATTGCTTAAAGGATGGATAGATTTTTCTGTCTCTGAGTACTTGCTATTCTAAGGAAGGTTTCCCAATCCAGACTTAGTCTTCAGTCTCCAAACTGCCCCTTGCTAATGTGACCTAGATTCTTTGAATACAATGGGGGCCCCTTAACAGCACCCCTTCCCTCACAGAGGTGAGCCAGGAATGGGGGGCCGGGGGGGGGGGGGCGCTCAGAATGCCAGTGGCTTAATATTTGGAAGGGGCCTGCTCCTGCGCTGGCTCTGAACTGTGTGTAGAACAAGCCCTGGGGGAGCTGTTCAGAGCGACACTAATCAGTTCTAATGCCCTGTCGCAATGTTAAACCTCAGTCTGTAAAAGGGTCTGCAAAATTAAAGCATGCATTTGAGAACAAGGTCTGTTTCTAATTTCTTTCATGCCCCCCCCCCCACACACACACACACACTTCAAATCTCCCCCCTTTCTCTCCCTTCCTGCCCCCAGCTGGTCTACTCATAGGGGAGCAGTCCAGCACTGCTTAAAGTGTACTGCTGCAGCCCCAGACGAACAGCTTCTCATGTCCGATGTAATTGGCTGAGATTGCTCCACATGGAACTGATTAATTCCAGACTGCTGGCTCGTTTGTCTAGTTAATCACCTAGCACCCCTTCCCTCTCCCAACCAGACGCACACACCCCCCTTGTTTCATTCAACCCCACTTACCAAGAATGGACCGGGGGGGGTTCCATACACACCATCCCCAGCTGATCCCAGACTCCTGAAAAAGTCACATCTGGAATTAACCGATCTAAAAGTACATCAAATACCCATCTGTGGCCACTGGGTGCATGCTCTCCACCTTCAGAAAGAGTCCCCTATCTAAATGCCCTGGAGTTAGTTGGAATAGCCCACTTGACATGTCCCTGTTTCTTTTCTGTTATGGCTTGTAGGTTTTCCAATCAAACTACCAAGAAACAACAGCGTCCTCAAGCTTTCAGCCAAGTAACAGTCTTTCTTTGGCATTTCAAGATACTTTGCTGTAGATTTGCCTTGGGCTTCATCCCTTCATCTATCATTCCCTTCCATTACAATAAACCTGTCTGTGCTTTGGTAACTCTCATGATATGTTAGAAAATTTATTTATTCTGGGATTATCAATTTAAATCAAATTGATTCTCCTTAATATGTATAATTTGTTCTTAAACTGCACAGATTCCTCTCTGTTATGTGGTATGCTTAGGCGAGTATTATACAAAATGTGCTCACGATAAAAATATCCTATGGAGTCAGTGTTCTGTGTAGCCCTCATAGTTATTATTATTATCACGACTCTGATCGCTTAGAGGGTTAGGAAATGGATGGATGGATTTACTCCAGAAAATAAATGTGGTAACTGATGCAGGTTTCAGCTCTGTTCCTTGAAAGGAAGCATTCTTAGAAATGACAAACGCTCAGTTAGAGCTGGGCATAATCCATGCATTTCCCAAATTACTCCATTCTTTGCTTTTTTTTTACTTTGTTCTGATGTTGAATGTCATGTTAAGTGTCTCGTGTGCCTCTCTGCAGGATTTTCACATGATGTACATGAGCTGTTACTGCATGCAGCTAATATTACTGCAACAACCAGGCAGTCAGCCTGATCTCAGTTTTACTGCAACAACCAGGCAGTCAGCCTGATCTCAGTTTTACTGCAACAACCAGGCAGT